GAATCTTGTTTTATACAAGGATACTATCTAAAGGAGACAAAATTTGTACTAAAACTCTGCAGGACTCAAATATGTCTTTGATGGCATACTTAGGCTACCACCATTTTGAGATAATTCTAGAGTCTAAAAACTGTTGAATGATTGGGAAAAATTAAAAAGGGAACTGGAAGTTTAAACAGAAGGTTTTACTTCTTCTCCTTCTGGCTAGCTAATGCCAAAGCCAGAGTAGTGAATTGTGTATGGCATACACATAATAAATATACACTCAGAAAGCAATGAAGGAAGGAAAAGTGAAAAATAAAAATAAGAAGGCCAAGCAAGCAGAATGAGAAGCATCAACTAATCTGATTCTGTTTCATTCTTTCTACATATGAACTTTAACTCTGAAATTTTACATCATGTAACTAAATGGGTCTAGTAATTATGTAATAGATGATCTATATAAACATACATTCAAATAAATGTATATAAGATACACAATTTCAAGACTAATGTTTGCTGGAATGGAAATTAGTGTTTGACCTTCTGACACACTAGCAAAAACTAAGACTAGAAGGCATTTGTTTGGAACTATTAAATTGATCAAAATACAAAGCAACCAGTGATCCAGTAAATTTTTTCATAATATACATAGACACTGAAAATCACCTTGCTTACATTGCTCAATTGTATTCCATAATCAATTTCAGATGCTATTTTTGTCTAAAATGTCTTCAACTGTCAAATAATAATGTCAGAAGCACATTCACAGACAACCTCTCTAGATGGTCACTGTAGTAACTGAGTCAGTTTCTTCATTCTCAATTTTAATTGCTTAGAACTATATTTCTTCAGAATAAAAGTAATTCATTTGATACCATTTTATGTATGAAATGGAAAAGGCCAAAAAGAGTCATCTATAATTCTTCATTAGTTAGTGACTACTTTTCTAAGCTTCTCTTAAACTGTCAAAGCTATATGCAAGTAAGGTTTTTTTGCTTTCTCCCATGCCATTTGAATAATGCTAAAAACAATGACATAATTTGATAAAGCCAGTTATAAAAGTACCCACTTAAAGGCAACCCAATACAATTAAAGAAGATTGTCAACCTAAGAAAAAAACTCTTCAGTGTGACACAATTATGTCAACTTGAAAACTGGGTGTTTCAAAATAAACAGAAAAATAATGGTAGGAAGTATTCAATATTTAAAAAGTTATTAACCCATGTAAATATGTCTAATGTACTATGGTTTCACTTATTCTACTAAGATTTAGTGTCTCTCATAAAAGTGAATGCAATAAAATTCTAAAAGAAACTATGGGCATATAGGCTTCAGTCACATAATCAAACTCAGAAATTTTGGTTTAGATTAGGACAGTTTGCTTTCACTATAAATATAAACTAATAAAAACATAGGATTAATAAAAATTTTATAATGATTAAAGTAACATGGAAAAGACATGTTCTTTATTATTAGGAATGATATTAAATAATTTATCTGGTATTATAATTAGTCTTTATTTGTTTCATTTTCTTTATATCCACAAATATAATATTTGATAGGAAAGAGTTCTTCATGTTCCAAGAAAGAGAGTATAAAAAGAGTGAACAATAGTAATCATTATAAAAAGAAGTTCAAAAACCTTTCCCTCTGATTATATAAGCAAGAAATAATATAAAATAGTTGTAAAAAAAATCAGTTTTTTTCCCAAAGGGAAATAAATATGTACTATGAAGTTGAACAGAGTATAAAAGCCACAAAATAACATTATACCCCAGTCTAAAATGTTAATTGAATATATCAACACATTAATGAAACCAGCAGATTTTTCAATTAGAGTGTAAAGTATTTCTAATAATGTAGCAGCTGCTTAGAAATACTGGAATAAATGTGAGAAATCTAAAAAAAGGAAACCAAAGTGTTTATAAACACCAATATCTATAATTATATACTTCATGCATGTTATATCTTCAGCATTCTCTTTAGTTTTCTACTAAATACTGTTTTTCTTTGAATTTTCAATAAAATGTTAGAATATATTGTTGACACAGAAAACCTTACATTATAACATTTTACAATGTATTGATTTTTGAAGAGCTAAATAAGGAAAAAAATGACAGCCTTTCCTGTAAGATCTGGAACAAGACAAGGCTGTCCACTTTCACCATTTTTATTCAACATAGAACTGAACAGCTTAGCTAGAGCCATCAGGTAAGAGAAATAAATAGAGAGTATCCAAATTGGAAAGGAGGAAGTCAAATTGTTCTAGTTTGTAGATGACATGGTCTTATATTAAGAAAAAACCTAAAGACTCTACCAAAAACCTCTTAGATTTGACAAATTCAATAAAATTGAAGAATACTAAATCAACATGCAAAAATCAACAGCATGTCTACACACAAATAGTGAACAATCTAAAAAAGAACTCAGGCAAGCAATCCTATTTCTGATAGCTACAAAAAACAAAATACCTAGAAATCAATATAACTAATGAGGTCAAAAATCTCTACTATAAAACTATAAAATATTGATAAAAGAAACTGAAGAAAAGACAAAAAAATAAAAAGATATCCTCTGTTCATGTACTGAAAGAATATTGTTAAAATATCCATACTGCCCAAAACAATATACAGATCCAGTGTAACCCCTAGCAAAATACCAATGACATTTTTTACATAGATAGAAAACAAAATTCTAAAATTTACATAGAACCCACAAAAGACCCACAATAGCCAAAGCAGTCCTGAGAAAAAGAACATTACACTACCTAGAAACATCATACTACCTGGCTTCAAAATATATTACAAGGATATAGTAACTAAAACTACATGGTATTGACATAAAAAAACAAACAAACAAACAAAAAAACCAAACATAACCCACTGTACAAAATGGAGAACCCAAAAATAAATTCACATATTTATAGCCAACAGATTTTGAACAAACATCAAGAACACATATTGAGAAAAGGATAGTCAGTAAACTGTGGTAGGAAAATTGGATCTCTATTGCAGACAAATGAAGCTAGATCCCTATCTTTCACCATATGGGAAAATCAAATCAAAATAAAGGCCCAGCATAAAATCCAATACATATAAAACAGTAGAAGAAAACATAGGGAAAATGGAAGAAAACATAGGGAAAATGTTTCAGGACATTGATTTTGACAAAGATTTGATGGCTAAGACCTTAAAAGCACAGGTAACAGAAGCAAAAATAAACACATTGAATTATATCAAACTAAAAGCATTTTGCACAGCAAAGAAAACAATTAACAGAGTGATAAGATAATCTACAGAATGAGAGAAGATATTTTCACACTATTTGACAAGGGATTAAAATACAGAATACATAAGAAACTCAAACAAAGCAACAGAAGAAAAAAAATTTAAAAATGGGCAAATGATATGTATAGACATTTCTCAAAAGAAGACATACAGGTATGTGAAAAAAAGTTCCATATCATTAATCACCAGGGAAATGCAAATCAAAACCACAATAAGATATAATCTCACCCCAGTTAAAATGGCTGCAATTGAAAGAACAAAAAAAAAGTTCTGTCAAGAATATAGAGAAAGGGGAACTCTTATACCCTGTTGGGAGTGTAAATTGGTACAGCCATTATGGAGAATAGGAGTTTTCTTTAAAAACTAATAATAGGCCAGGAACAGTGGCTCACCTCTGTAAGCCCAGCATTTCGGGAGGCTGAGGAGGGCAGAATCAGTAGGTCAGGAGTTCGAGACCAGCCTGGCCAATATGGTGAAACCCCATCTCTACTAAAAATACAAAAATTAGCCTGGTGTGGTGGTGCACACGTGTAATCCTAGTTACTCAGGAGACTGAGGCAGAATAATTGCTTGAACCTGAGAGGTGGAGGTTCCAGTGAGCTGATATTGCACCACTCCACTCCAACCTGGGTGACAGAGCGAGACTCCATCTCAGAAAAAAAAAAAATCCTCTAATAATAATAAACTAATAATGGATCTACCATATAATCTTGCAATCCATTACTAGGTATTTATTTAAAGGAGGAGAAGCAGTATGTCGAAGAGATATCTGCACTCCTATGCTTACTGCAGCACTGCTCACAATCTATCAGACAGTTAGAATCAATCCAAACTGCCAACTATGAATGAATGGATGAACAAAATGTGTTATACAACACAATGGAATATTCAGCCACAAAAAGGAATGAAATACTGTCATCTGTGGCAACATAACTGAGACTGGAGGACGTCATGTTAAGTGAAATAAGTCTGATATAGAAAGACAAGTACCACATGTTCTCACATGTGAGAGTTTAAAAAGTAGTATCTTATATAATTAATGAATAGAATAATGGTTATCAGGAGCAGGGAGGAGTAGTGGACAGGGGAGAATAAAAATAAGCTGGTTAATGGTACAAAAATACCGTTATATAGGGTGAATAAATTCTAGTGTTCTATAACACGGTAGGCTGACTATAGTTAATAATTCATTGCGTATTTCAAAATAGCTATATTAGAAGATTTTGAATATTTCCAAAACAAAGAAATGATAAATGTTGGAGGCATAGTATATGCCCATTCCCTAATTTGATCAATAAACAGTGTATACATGTATAAAAATATATGTATTCTACAGATACAATTATATGCCAATTAAAAATAAAACATAATAAAAATAAATGTTAAAAATCCATAACCAAAAAAGAAAGAAATATAAGCTGCCAACACCAACAACAAAACTTAGTTTTGTGACTACAACCAACTAAAATAAATTGAGTATATTTGATGCTGAATAGCTGATACGTGAAATAATTTGAGTAAATTTGAAGCTAAAAAATCTGCCCTATGAAATAATTAAGCTTCCTTATAGTCATCCACTACCTAGTGTATTCATACTGGTATTAGAAATTCGATTATAATTTAGAAAAAATGGTCGAACAGAGTAAAATCTTAACTTTACCCCAATCAATGTTGTAATGGCAAAGAGCAATTAGCACGAACTTTTACCACGTCTGTTTGTAAGTAACTCACCTGATTAGCAATCTGCCGAGCAAGGACATCCATCCTTGATCCTGATTCTGATATCATTTTTGCTGCATAGATCACATCAGTTGTATGCTTTAGTGGTCCTTTGCCCCTGAAAAAAAAAGTATATGTTAACTGTAGCGTTCATGAAAAAATGTATGTTAGCTGTGTTGGTTCATGAAAAAACATATAAATCTATCCATCCATCCACATATGTAAAATATTTGCATCCGAAAGAACAGCTATTGGTTTTAATATTTTTGTTTTGAAAAGACCATAATTAGACTTCTGTATTAAATAAATGTTTTAAAAAATGCAAGCCTATTGTGTTAAGTCAGGAAATACTACAGAGAAGATGAAGACCTTTTAGTCTTCATTCCCAGGTGTTTATCATAGTAAAACTCAGCCTAGAGTACCCTTCACAGATCTAGATACCTCAAAGGCAAAGTTATTTTCCTGATTCTACGAAGAAGCATAGTATTTTGGACATTGTATCCAACAGTTCATTTTTTATCGACATTTTTTCTACTTTTAATATTTCACATTTTTTCTTGCTATATTTTATTTTTTAAAAAATTTTATTGATGTAATATTCATTTTTATGGGGGTACATATATTATATTGTTATTTATACATGCATAGAATGTGTAATGATTAAGTAATGGTATTTAGGGTATCCATCACATCAAGTATTATTTCTATTTGTTGAAAATATTTGAAGTCTTCTAGTTATTTTGAAATATTCAATACATTGTTTTTAATTATAGTCACCCTATTCTGAACATTTGAATTGTTCTTTCTATTTAACTGTATGTTTGCTCCCATTAACCAACCTCTCTTATCCCCCCAATCCCCAACAGACACTATGCCAAGCCTCAGGTAGCTCTCATTCTACTTTCTACCTCCATGAGAGCAATGTTTTTCACTCTCACATGTGGAGGAGAACGTGATATTTGTCTTACTTTTATTTCACTTAGCATAATGTCCTCCAGAATCATCCATGTTGCTGTAAATGTTAGGATTTCATTATTTTTTTAAGGCTGACTCTTTCATTGTGTATGTATACATGCCACATTTCATTTATCCATTGGTGAACACTTTGATTGATTTGATGTCTTTGCTATTGCGAATAATACCGCAATAAAAATAGGGGTGCAGAAGTACTTTTGAAATGCTGATTTCCTTTTCTTTGGATAAATACTTAGGAGTGAGATTGCTACATCATATGTTAGTACTACTTTCCATTTTTTGAGAAATCTCCATATTGTTTTCCATAATGGCTGTGCTAGTTTACATTCCTATCAACAGTGTTTAAGAGTTCCCTTTTCAACATACAGTTGCCAGCATATTTTTTTTGACTTTTTAATAATAGTCATTCTAACTGAGGTAAAATAATATCTTACTATAGTTTTGATTTGCATTTTCATGTTAATTAGTGATATTGAGCATGTTTTCATATACCTATTGGTCATTTGTCTTCTTTTGATAAATGTCTGTTCATGTCCTTTGCCTGCTTTTTAGTGGGATGATTATTTTCTCCTGTTGAGTTGCTTTAATTCCATGTATTTTCTGAATATTAGCCCCTTATTAGATGAATAGTTTACAAGTATTTTTAAATATTATTTTCTACCATTTAACAGGCTGTTTACTCTGTTGATTATTTATTTTGATGTGCAGAAGCTTTTTAGTTTATGATAGTCCCATTTGCCTATTTTTACCTTGCCTGTGCTTTTGAAGTCTTAGCCATAACATCTTTGTCTAGACCCATGTCCTGAAACATTTCCCCTATGTTTTCTTCAAGTGTTTTTATAATTTTGGATCTTATGTTTAGGTCTTTAGCTGATCTGGATTTGATTTTTGTATACGGTAAGAGATGGGGACTAGTTTCATTCTTCTGATTATGATTATCCTGTTTTCCCAGCACTATTTATTGAAGAGCCATCCTTTCCCCAGTATCTGTTCTTTGCACCTTTGTTGAAAATCAGTTGGTTAGAAATGGGTGGATTTATTTTTGGGCTCTCTATCCTGTTCCATTTGTCTTTGTGTCTATTTTGATGCCCATACAATGCTTTTTTGGGTTACTATAGCCTTATGATATGTTTTGAAGTCAGGTATATGATGTTTCATGTCCTTTTTCCTGTTCTTTTCCTGAATATTACTTTGGCTATTTGGGGTCTTTTGTGATTCTATTAATACGTAACGTTTAGGATTGGTTTTTCTGTTTCTGTAAAGAATGTCATTGTTATTTTGAGAGAATTCCAATGAATATGTAGATTTCTGGAGGTAGTATGGATATTTTGACATTATTGATTCTTCTGATCTATGGACATGAGATATCTTTTTATTTTTTGTGTCTCGTTCAATTTCTTCCACCAGTGTTTTAAAGTTTTGCTTGTAGAAGTAATTCTTTGTTTGGTTAAAATTATTCCTAGGTTTTTAATTTTTATAGCTATTTTATATGGGATTGCTTCTTGATTTCTTTTTCAAATTGTTCAGATTGATGTATAAAAATGCTATTGATTTTTGTATATCAATTTAGTATTCTGCAACTTTCCTTTATTTACCAAATATAAGAGTGTTTTGGTGGAGTCTTGACGTTTTTCCAAATAGAATTTCATTGCAAAGAGGGACAATTTGGCCTCCCTTTTTCCAATGTGGATGCCTTTTATTTCTTTCTTTTTCCTGGTTGCTCTGGCTGATAACCTTTAGTACTAGAATGTTGAAGAGGAGTTATAACAGTGGGCATCCTCATCTTGTTTCAGATCTTGATAGAAAGGCTTTCAGCTTTGGCCTGGTCAGTATGATGTTAGCTGTGAGTTTGTAATATATGGCCTTTAGTATATTGGGGTATGTTGTTTCTAAATCTAGTTTCTTGAGAGTTTTATCATGAAAAGATGTTGAATTTTATCAGGTGCTTTTACTAAGCCTATTGAGATGATCACATGTTTGTTTATCTTTCATTCTTTTGATGTGATGTATCACGTTTATTGATTTGTGTATGTTGAATCATCCTTGCATCCCAAGGATAAATTCCGCTTGAATTAACTTGTATTATCTTTTTGGTGTGCTGTTTGATTCATTTTGCTAGTATTTTGTTGAAGGTTTTTGTGTCTCATTCGTCATGGATATTGACCTGTAGTTTTCTTTCTTTCTTGTGTTCTCCTCCGGTTTTGGTATGAGGGTAATGCTGGCTCATAAAATGAAATAGGAAGAATTCCCTCCTCTTCAATTTTGTGGAATGGCTTGAGGAAAATCAGTGTTAGTTATCCTTTGTACATTTGGTAGAATTCAGCAACAAAAGATCCAATTCTGGGCTTCTCTTTGTTTGGGAGACTTTTTGTTTACTGATTCAATTTATTATGCATTATTGTTCTGTTCAGATTTTCTATTTTTTCCAGACTTGATCTTGGTAGATTTTGTGATTCCAGGAATTTATTCATTTCCCCTGTTTTCCAGTTTGTAAATGTTAACTGTTAATAATGGTGTCTGATGATCTTTTGTATTTCTGTGATGTCAACTGTAATACCTCTTTTTAGATTTGTAATTTTGTTTATTTGGGTATTCTCTCTTTTCTTGGTTAGTCTCTCTAGCAGGTTATTAAATTTTTTATATTTTCACAAACCAACTTGTTGCTTTGTTGATCTTTTGTATTTTTTTTAGTCTGTGTATCATTTAGTTCTGCTCTGATCTTTATTATTTCTTTCCTTCTACTAATTCTGGATTTAGTTTGCTCTTCCTTTTCTAATTCCTTGACGTGCATCATTAGATTGTTTATTTGAAATCTTTCTACTTTTTTATTGTAGGAATTTATTGCTATGAATTTCCCTCTTAGCACTGCTTTTGCTCTATTCTATAGGTTTTGGTATCTTGTGTTTTATTTTCATTTTTTCAGAAACTTGTTTGATTTCCTATTTAATTTCTTCATCGAGTTGATGGTTGTCTAGGAGCTTGCTGTTTAATTTCTATGTAGTTGCACAGCTTCCAAAATTCCTCTTTTTATTGATTTTTAGTTTTATTTGATTGTGGCGTAAGAGGATACTTGGTATGATATTAACTTAAAAAAATTTTTTAAGACTTGTTTTGTGGCCTAACATAGCATCAATCCTGTGCAATGTCCATGTACTTGGGAAAAATGTATATTCTACAGTTGTTGAATAAAATGTTCTGTAGATTGGCCTGTTAGACCAATATGGTCTAAAGTGCAGTTTAAATATAATGTTTCTTTATAAATTTTCTGTCTAGATGATCTTTCTAATGCTAAGAGTTGAGTGTTGAAGTCTCCAACTATTATTTCATTGGAGTACATCTCTCCCTTTTGATGTAATAATATTTGCTTTATATATCTGGATGTTTTCATATTGAGTGCATATGTATTTACAATTTTTATATCCTCTTGCTGGATTTATCCCTTTATCTTTAATATGATGACCTTGTCTCTTTTTTACTGTTTTTGACTTAAATATGTTTTTATCAGCTATAGAAATACATATGCTCAATTTTGGTTTTTGTTTGCACAAAATATCTTTTTCAATCCCTTTACTTTCATTCTATATGTCTTTACAAGTGAAGTGAGTTTCTTAGAGACAATAGATAGTTGGTTCATGTGGTCTTTGTTTTGGATTTTGGTTTTTGTTTTCAAATCCATTCAGCCAGTCTATGATTCTCCTGCCTCAGTCTCCCGAGTAGCTGAAACTACAGGCATGGGCCACCGAGACCAGCTAATTTTTATATTTTTAGCAGAGATGGGGTTTCACCATGTTGGCCAGACTAGTCTTGAACTCTTGACCTCATGATCTGCCCACCTTGGCCTCCCAAAGTGCTGAGATTACAGGCATGAGCCGCTGTGCTATATCTTTTAAGAGCAAAATTTAATCCATTTATCTTCAAGGTTATTATTTATGTGTAAGGACGTATTTCTGTCCCTTTGTAAATTGTTTTTTGGATTTTTTTACATACTTTTTTCCTTTCTTATTGTTTATCATTATGGTTTGGTGTTTTTCTGTAGTTGTACCATTTTAGTAGTTTCTACATTTGTATGTTTACTAGTAAGTTTTATACTTTCTGTGTTTTTATGATAATAGATAGCATCTTTGCAATTTCAGATATACAACT